TTATATCAATACCAGTAAATAGTGCAGGTTTAACCCTATTGTTTATTGACTTGCATTCAAAATTTTATTGAACTACTATTTTATGAATCTGTGTCAATAAGTTTGGTATCAAATTGTAGATTTTTGTTTGTTTATAGCACAAAGCTACACAATGGGCTATCTGTGCTCTGCCCACCACGGGTATTGAAACCAGGATTCTATTGTAGATTATAATTCAAATTTTAGTATTATACGTTAGTTAATTTCTTAATTTAAAATATTAAAAAAAACACACAGCTAAACATCAATTTTTGTGTGTTATGTGGTATGTTGAATGCAGCACTGGTTCAAATTAGATGTTTGTGATGTCCAAGTACAAAATCTACAGTTTTGTATGAATTACGAACTCAAACTATCGATATTGACAAGGTAGGATATGAAATAAGAACCTTTCATCTTTTCTATTTGCTAAGATATTGCTCCTGTACTGAATAAAACACAGTGGCCCTGCACCCACCTCTTTCCATTTTTGGAAACAGTCCCTTATATACACTTACTTCTATATATGAGGTGAATAACCAATCAAAAGCTCAGAATGTCCACCTAGTGGTTTCCTCAGCCATTCTGACGTGTTATTGTGCTAATTTTGTTCTTTTCCCACAAGATTTCAAACAATGAGGCAAGTCTTTAGTGAACTTGAAATTTCGTATTTTTTTTAGACCGAAATACAGTTTAGTTACTATGCTTGATAAATTATGGTGAAATCTATGGTATTAATATAGTAATTTATGATTTTTTGGATATTTAAAATGTATATATAAAACCTAAAAAATTTTTTTATTTTCACATCCTCCACATGGGAAATTTCATAAGGCTTAGCAATCTACAACAAGTGGCAAATGAGTACAAAGATCATAACTAGAAGAGTTTTACTTCTTTATTTACTGATCTATGTTTTAAGAAAAATAAGTTTAAGAACTTATTTCTAAATAGTAATAATTTATATACATATTTTATGTATAATAATTGAAATGTGACTGTATTTTACAAAATACTAGTCCACTAAAACACAGCCAAGACAGGTCACTTTTCAGGCAGCATAGGTCTTAGGAAGTAAGGAATGGTTTGGATATAGGATGACACAAGTAGTAGATGATTCAGGTAACATTAATGGCATAACTATCTGATCAATGACGTCTGCAAGTGAGGAAGAGAGGGAAATAGGTCTTGAGGGAGGAATGGTATATGAAACACGTAGACCAAGGTTCAAAAGGAGGATGGGAAAGGGCGTAAAGGAGCACAATGAGATCCGCATCAGACAATTCAAAGGAATATGGAGGATGCATGGCCCAAAAGGAGCAGGGGAAGACTAAACCTTACAAAACTTGGAGAAACGGAGGGTGTTTGACAAGGCCGCCTGATAGCCAAACACAGTCAAAGTGGAAAAACCTTTGTCAAACAACCAGGTGAAGAATTGGGAAAGATGAAGAATGGAAGTGTGGGAAGGATGGACAACCCATCCAAGAGACCAAAGGTGGAAGGTATGCATTTGCCTCTGGTAAATAGACATGGAAGAAGATTGTATGGATCTGGAAAGGTAACACACAGCAATGTGGAATCAGTTCCTGGGCTGAGACAATGGATCTGACAAAAGCCATGCATGAAGATGGATGGTGGTGATATCTGAATGAATGATGTCTCACTGAAGTTGATGGAGGAGAGACCGAGACAGAGGTAAGGGTAGGAGAGGTTGTACAAGTGAAGGTCAGAGCAGTGGGGACCATGGTTGCACCGGACAAAAGGAGCCACCAGGAAGAATACACATTAAGTGGTTTGGATTAGGGATAGAACTCTGGGGAGGAGTTGAATAGAAGGGTAAGCATGGATGTGATGTCCCCTCCAATATTGACTGAATACATTCACTTCCAAAGCTAGCAAGTGTAATATGGGATATCAAAAGGAAGGTAATTTGTTGTAAGAAGTTGGTTGCAAAAGTATTGATATTAGGAGGCCCACAACTGAGAGCACACTCACTGAAAAACCTGTGGATTGAGGAATCACTTTGTGGGAAGAATATTTTGGGGGCAATATAAACGATCCGCAACCAGATTCAAGGAGTCAAGAATAAGACTTGGTGATATAAGTGACCACTGTGGAGTTATTGGGATGTACCATAACCACCCTTCGTCGCAGGAGAGGAAGGAAGTGGGATAAAGCTTGACAAATTACCATAAGTTTGAGAATGTTGATATGGAAAGAAAACTCAGAGACTGGAAAACTCCTGAGAGTTGAGGTAAGCACCCCAACCCTCTAAAGATGCATTTGTGAACAGATGTAAATCCAGACAAGGTGGAGGAAGCAGAACCCCTGCTATGGTCTGGTCCCTGTCTAGTCACCAAGGCAGGGGAACAGGGTGGTCCAAGTAATCCAAGCAGAAGTTACACTGATTTAAGAGTGTTTACTGAAGAAATGCATATGAGCTTGACCCAAGGAATAAGGGCCTCCAAGGAAGCCCACATTCCCAAAAGAGATTGAAACTCTTGAGCTGTGAAATAATGTGAGGTAAGGGCCTTGTAGACTGCTTGCTCCATATTCTAAAGACAAAGAGGAGAAGGCTGGGCCCAATTTAGTTTGGAATTGAAGAAAAACCCCAAATGAATAAGGTATTCAGTGGAGGTAAGAACGAACTTCTCCATCTTTTTCACGAATCTCACCCTTGGAGAAGCAGACAAGTGTGGTCTCAGGACTGTGAACTGGAAGAAGTGAGCAGGAGCCAGTTATTCATGTAATTATAAGTGAAAAGACTCATGAAATGAAGATGTTGGGCAAAAGTTTGTACCATCCGACAAAACACATAGGGAGTTGATGTTAGTTCAAAAGCCAGAGCCCAGAACTGGAACAGCAGACCCTCACAGATGAACCAAAGATAATGACATGACTTGGAAGCAATGGAAGTGTGAAGATAGGCATCTGTCACATTGAATTTGGTCATCCAGAGTCCCAGGGAAAACACCAACAGAAGTGAGAGATAAGACTCCATAGAGAAGAGAGGAGGGGGTTCTATAAATCAATTCAACTGGGACAGATCAATGATAGGTCTCCAATCTCCCATCTTCTTGGCGACTATGAAGAAAAGGGAATAAAATCCAAGTTGAATAGAGCACACCCATTTGATAGCTTCTGTAAGACGACTGAGAGATGTAGGAGCCTGTGAGGGTGTGAAGGGAATACAAGAATGGGTGAGGGATTGAAACGGGAGGCAGAGACCTCCTGACAGAACCTGTAGAACCCATGGATATGTGAAATGCTGCCACATGGTAGAGAAGTTGAGCAATCTGGCTCTCACCAGTCTAGAAACCTCAGTAACATCACCTATATTGCTGATGTTGGTCAGCCTGGGTGCAAAAATAACAAGAATAGGGTTGGGAGTGCCAGGAGGAAAGCAAGGGCCAGTGCAAAAAAGGAGGAGGACGGGAAACAAAGATGGGTGACTCCTGAAAGGAAGAGGGAGGGTGAGATAAATATCTGACCAGAGAAGACAAGGAAGAATGTAATCTAGTCACATCAATTCTAGATTCCCAAGAATCAGGATGACCCCCAAATATGGCATTGCATAGAAAGGGGACTTGATGCAGATCCCGCAGGGATGAATGGGAGAGATACACCCCTGCAAGAAATGCATCTCTCTGCAACAAGTCCGACAAGCACATGAGCCAGGTATTAAGGGAGAGAGCAAAGGCCAATAAACGAGACATAGTGGACCAAAGGAGGGACCTGAGCTCACCTAAAAAAAGTTCAGGGAGCAAAGAATGGCCTCTGAAAATAATTGGAGGAAAGACAGGCGATGTAAAAGGTAGAAAGAGAAAGGCAAATCTGCGAGAATTGAGCTTGGTGAAAATTAACAGTTGCTCACAGATTCGATTGATGGTATGCCAAAGCATCTTGGTCAGACAAGTGAGGGGGATGGGGCCTACCAACATCCAGCTGAAAATCTTTGAGCATGAACCCTAATGTTGGGTCAAGAGGGAAACAAAATTCGGAAGAGGGAATTTCATTCAATAAGGAAGAATGGGCATCATAGGCAATAGGAGAAACATTTAAATTACTACATACCTGATTAAGAAACTACAAAAAAGAGGTGGAAGGCAAAATCTCTTGAAGAGGTGTAGATTGTGACTAACCAAAATAAGAAGGTGCTGGGAAAAGAGAGTCCAAGTTGTCTTTATCTTGATTATATTCTTCTTCAGCAACATAGTCAGGTTGAAAAGGAAAAGAAACTGCCATCCTAACATATGAATCCAGCTCCATGTGAATTAAAACCTGTACCTCATCTGCAAATAATGTCAAACCTGAGTCCTGGGAAGTTGTACCAATAGCGCAACTGTAACGGGAACGTCTGTATTCAATACTTTGAACCTCATATTCATACTAGGTTCAGTTATAATTCGGGAATAATAAATGTTTTGTTTCGATATACAAGTTGTTTTTTAATATAAAAAAAAAGCAACATTAATTTCTTGACGATCTAATAGTTTGAAGTTCTAAAGATGAGTGTTCACAATGTATGTTAATGAAACACGAACGAGTACAATCATTTCTTTCACAACTGATGATGTTTCATGTTACTGCTTTGCAACACAATGCCAAAGTTGTCCACATTCTTTTTATGTACTTTCCTAAGTCTATCAACTGAACATAAACAATGAATTCCAAGAGCCCATTTGAGCAACTCATAGGCACAGAAGTTCATGGTAGATATCATGGTATAGCATAATTTTCCATTTGTGCTGTATGTTGCATTTCTTCTACAGAGGAACTGCAAGGTGCATTTGGGTTTATTTCCCAAAAAAGACAATCTAGAACTTAACTGAAAGATTTAGAGTTGAAAGACTGTATAAACAGTAATAGACTGTTACTACTTTAAAATAATTCATACACTATATTAAATATGATAGTTCATTTTACATAAACACATGTTTTTAAAGCCTTATAAACACAGTGATTAAAAAAAAAAGACGTACCTCTGATGTTAAAGAAATAGATGCATCCTTTTCAGCATACATTCTGTGTTCTATAGCCAAGTAGTTGACCACAGTGTTGACCATATCAGTGCAAATTGTTTTCAACAAGTGCTTAGTAAGCTGGATTTGAATGTCCTCTAAATATATTAAATATCTTATTTTTATCTTAAACTCTGGAAAAAAAAATCAAGTCTAGTAAAAACCAAACTTTAGTGGTTGTATAGATAATGGGATTTAAATGGCTGAGGTAAGTAAGTTGGTTTGTTAAATTGATAACATTTATTGTGGCAATCTACATTACAGATATCAATACAAAATACAATAGAATAAATCTCCACATTTTATGCATACAGAGTGAATTTTGTATGATAACAAAATACATGAAAAACTATAAAAGTTTATAAAAATACTTCCCATGCATATTCTTGATAATGTTACTGACAATAGAAATGCGATGTCAGCAGCATTAAAGTTTGTCACATAACTTAGTTAAAGTATCAACTTTGCACATTCAGTTTCAGAGCTGAATGTATGAAATCTACAGGGGAATGAAACTGTAAAACTGTTAACACAACAAGTATTGTGCTAAAATATATTATACTGTTACAATATAAGAACAAAAGCAATTTACCAAATAATGCAATTAAAAGGACAAATAGATTGAAACAATGTTATACGTGATAGAGGAAGGAACTACAACAAATCAATCAAGAAACAAAAATACTTCTTGTGTGTGTATGTGTGTGTGTGGAGAATGATTTGGGATAAATCTCTGTAAATAATACTGTATCATTTATAAAGAGGGGGGGAATGTTTGCTTTTTCTTAGCTCAAAGCTACATCATGGGTTATCTTAGCTTCATCCACCATGGAGAAATTGAACTCCAGATGTAAGTATTGGAAGTCTACAAATTTACTGCTGAACCCTCAGGAGACACATATGATGCCATTTTACCACAGTGACATCAATAAATATATGCAGGTTTTGCTCAAGCAAACCGAATAGATTAAAAAACTTTAAACTTGTAAAAAAAATCTGTCCTTGAATCAGAGCACTTCAAAATTTCTACACTGTGTGTCCAGTAAGTATAAATATAACAAATAATGACATGATAAAATATAAGTATATATGTTTCAAAACCTGCTCTATTTTAATCATCTACTTATGTGAATGTATGTCATTAAAAATGTATTATGTGAAATAAATAATTTATTTCTGTAAACACTGAACTAACACAAGGTAAATGTATTAGTACTTCATAGTGTACAAGTGTTAAACTACATTACGTTTTTTTAGTTTGTTTGTTGTAAAGCACAAAGCTACATAATGGATAATCTGTTCTGTGCCCATCATACATATTGAAACCCAGTTTTTAGCATTATATATGCCTTCACACTTACTGCTCAGCCACTGGAGGGTGAGTTGCATTAGATTAGAGAGACTAAATTTAGGTTTACAGCTGGTTCCAAATAAAGTACAGGTTTAAAGTATGGTAAAAATAATGCTTTTTAACAGAAATTTGGAAATAAGTTAAAAATTCTTAGTTTGAAGCACACAAACTTTTGTATTTGTTTCCTTGACAACTTTACTATATATAATTTCACAGCTTGAAATGGCCAGAGTCATCAGTTCTTGTCCAGCATTACTAAATGCTGACATTTAAAGTGACAAGTAAACTAGATGTGGAATATCTTCTGATGTTTTCTTGTTTCACGTGATTATGAGATTTCACATTTTAAGTTCAGTATTTCACCTTGTAATTGTTATTCAATTTTTCATATTTTGTAACATAGAAATATTTCCCCGACCAATGGTTCATTTCTATTTAGTACCTTAAAACACTTTCACATAGCTGCATCACACCACCACATTAAACATCAATCTATATATTTCAACATCAATACATCAATCTACATACCTTTAAGGACCGATATTACACTTTTCCTGCAACTAAACAGTAGACAGTAAAACCATGACGTGACTGCAAAACACAAATATAGTTACCCTGGAATACTTTTACACCTTTGTAGAACATGTGGACTTCTCCAAACATTGTGTTCAACTTATCCTGTAGTTCTCCATGTGTTTTCTTCCTTGTGGAACTAGAGGCAGCAGTTGAGGAAAGAAATGCAGATTTAACTTCCTCCTGGTATTTCTTAGTGAGAGGCCTGAAGAAAAAACAAAAAAACTAGGCTAAGGATGTGCTGATATGCAAATTAGTGAATAATTGGTTGCTAGTAATTTTCCAATTATTTTTTTAGTTTTTTCTACTAATATTTAATCTTGAGGTTTTATGGTCTTTGAAAGATATGGAAGATGAATAGGTGACTTTTCAAAGCCTAGAAAGTCACAGACTTTTCAATGCAATTTGTGAAAATTAATGTAAATAAAAGATTTTCAAACAGAGTTTGATGTTACCTAACTTGTGGACGTAGTTTCTCTTTTAAATTACAATCTAAGTTTTTATCGTGTGAATTATATTGTCATTGTTTTTATAAAGTATAACAACACTAGCATTTATTATTAGGATATAGCAAAAATACAGACATTATGTTTTATAAAAGGTTTTAGAATTAAACTCAGAATATTTATAAAGGATGTTGGAAACTCTGAAATGAAATCCAAAATATAAACAATTCTTAATTAATTTGGACACATGAAAAATCAAGTGCAGATGTGTTCCAACTATTTTCAAATGTGTTAATCTCTAAAATGGAACAATTTTCATTAAGATTTCAGCAATTTAGAAAAATTGGAAAAACTATTAAATTTGTTAACTACCCAGCTGAATTTGATGTACACAATTTAACTATCAAATGCTTTAGTTGGTTAAATATGTGAAATGGAACTTGTGGAACTATGGAAACAAAACAATTATCTGGTGAATCATGCTGTTTGAAAATGAAATTTTGAAGGTTTAGGAAATTATGCCAGATATGTTCAATTCTTTAAAGAAAGTTGCAATTTCAATTCCCATCCTGTGTTTATTGACTTAGTTTTGTGAAAGTCAAATGTTAAATAAAGGCTAAAAAAGTGAAGATTCAGTAATGCATGTTACTCTTTAGTCAATAATTTACAGGCCAAACATGATCAAAAATGATCCAAAAAAGATCAAACAAATGAATTTTATTTTAGCATGTCAGGTAACCTTCTCACAAGAGGTATCCTTTTCTGCACGTCACAATCTTTAGAGTGAGTTATATTCAAAATTTAATTAAACTACTTTTTGTTTATGGTATACCGATTGATATAGCATATAATTGTAGCTAATAAACCATATTTTAATAATATATAATCTTTAAGTTCTTAATTTTATGAATTTCCCATAGTGTGAGAAATATGACATTTTTTCTCTAAGCCTCCTCTCTTCTCTAATTTATTCATCACCCCTCCAATAAGTACAAAACTTAGCATAAATTACTCACTATAATTTTGTTATCACCCATACAAATCATAAATTTTATAGCCTTCAATCTTGTTTGATTACAAAGCTATCAAATAGAAAACAAGACCCCTCTTGTCACACCCACCTGTCACATCCTTTCTTTCAGAATTTGTTAATTGTTCTCTCTTACATTTAATAATATATTATTTCTAACCAATAGAAAGGTTTTCATCAATCAAATGTTGTATCAAATTACATTGTGTTCTGAACAGAAAATTGTCAAGAAAATAATACAAGCTTAGTTACCAAGGGAAAGATATTGACTAGTTTGAATGAATTTCTAATGGTTCTTGTCATATCGTTAGAAAGCCAGAAAAATTATAATAGTTATGGGACACTGTATGATTTTTGCATGTTATTATTCTATGTTCTTTGGTGCACTGTTTAATTAAATAAAAATTATTTACTACTCTACTACCGTTAGTATAAAAAATTAGGGTTAAGTTTCATCAACAGTCGACAATAAAAAAATTAAGGTCCAGGTAAGTACTTTATTTCTTGTTTTTCATATGTATTCTTTATTTATTATTATAAAAGTAACTTAAATATGGTTTTCTTTAGGATAGTATAAGGTTATATTAGGTAAAATAAATAATAATAATATAAGACAAACTTTTCACAAGGCACACACGAGCAGCTCGGAGTAGCTCGTGGGTAAAGTAATTTGATAGCATAACATGAGCCACACATTCCCCAAGTGATTTACAAGTTATATAGGTGTGAATAGCAGTTAGACATTGATTCAAAGGGCAATAAATAAAATAAATAGATGCATACTGTTACAAATTTAAAGCTACTTAAGATAAATAAATATAGTTTCATGTTACAAACTGAAATCATTATACAAAGAGAAAAAAAAGATTTATTTTAATTTTTTTTATGGTTACGAGATCGGTCAAATTGACTGATCTTGAGTAGAGTTAGGGTAGAAAAAATAACAGATAAAATATAAAGTTTTACTAAAATAAATGTTTGAAATGTATTTAGGAAGTTTTAGACATTATGATTTTTTATCATAACATGAAAAAAGACTCAATATATTCACAGACAACTCTTATTTTAGTTTATTAAAAATACTTGTAATGTTGACTGAAAGTCTACCAAATTTTGTGAAGATACTCATAATATATTAAAAGTTAGTAATATCAAAACTATAATGACTTTAAATGAGTACAAATTGGTCACGTGGTCGGTCAATTTGACCAAGCTCGTGTAGAGAGAGTTAAAACCTATTTGACATCCCTGCTATAGAGTGTGGCATTAATAGCAATATTCTACAAGATACAGAGATTGGTACATCCACTAATGCTTATTTCTGCTCACAACATACTTCTATCATGTTCTTGTTAGAAAATTGAGACAAACTTGGTTCCAGATTTCATCCAATTTAGTATAAACTTATAATCTTGTTGCATATTCTACATCATTGGTCCATTGGTTTGTGCCCTACTGTAAGTAGAATAGAATTCAACTTTACTACAGGCCAGCCTTGTGAAGTCTGTAGACAAACACAGTATGCAGTTGTGCCTTTAAACACCTGATTCAGTCATGAAGCAGGAGTTTCAAATTTATTCTGCTAACAATACTTTGAGACACTCATAACCAATTCATGTGTAACAGTCTTCTGTGCTTGTAGCTGCCACTTGTATTATACTCTACACACGCAAAAATCCAAATGTTTTTATATGGGTCTAGTACAGATTTATGAAGAAGCTTATGATTCATTTCAGCAATAACTGAGACAATATTATGTGAGGCCATTGTAACAGGCATAGGCTGAATGACCAACCACTTGTTTTTCAGATGATATGACTGATCATAAGATGTCTGCTAAGAGATAAACATGATAATGAATTTAAATGGTGTGTGGTAGTTACTGAAAATATTTGATCTTGGAAACTACAGCACCGATCACCACAAATCATAACTGGGTAATATTTTTATAACTAGGCAGTATTTTTATACCTGAGCAATAAATGAGATTTCCATAAAAATTATATGTTTCAGATTTAACCAATAAAAATTACAAAAAAGGAGTAAATTTCAAATATAAAATAATCAAAAAACAAACTTAAAAAAATCATTTGTTTTTCTTCAGTGAAAATCTTGTGAGTGTTGTAACAGAAAAGCAAGGCACTTTCATTGATAACTGCATCAACAAAGAAATACTTCAATAAAATCTACTCTGTGATGTAATGCTGTGATGATAGCTCATTTCTAAACTAAAATTTCAATTTTCTCATGGATAGTGATCATTATTGAATGTCAAGTATGAGTAGATTGTTACAAAACTGTCCGACAATTCCAGAAAACGCCATAGGCCCAATATCCTTCCACAGGAACTAGCAGTTATACCTGCCCAGAGGGCAGGTATTTCTGCTAGAAAATATAATATTGCAAGATCTTTCCATCTTCTGTTTTGTGCAGTGTATATTTTCAATTGAAAATTGACTTTATATATATGTTATATAAATTTTTAAGTTGGTTGAGAGAACATATGTAAATGGGAAAAATGTATACGTCTCTTTAAAATTTTCATGGTGTACCCACTGCCTTCCCAAAAATTATATAATGATGTCAACAGTTGTTAGGACAATTTCAACAGTCCTGCCACAAGGCATCGTGTGGTATTTATAATCATTCATCCATGAGCATTATGCATAATTTGTTTGGAGAGGAAGGAGTTGTGAATGGCTCTGATGTGTTGTACCAAAACATTCCACAGATGTTCTACAGAAATGAGATCAGGGAACTGCGCTGGGCAGAGCAAATGCAGTCACTGTCGTGTTCTTTAAACACATTACGTACAATACAGGCGTGATGGATTATGGCATTATTGGTCTGAAACATCTCATTTGAATATAGAAGCAGCAATGCAGAATGAACTTTGCCACAATACTTAGGTATTTACCATGCCTTAAATGCAATTAGAAGACCACATCCATACCATCTAAGTATGCCCTAAACAATAGTATTTCCAGGAGTTTGAACCAATGAAGTGATTCATGTGTAATGTTGTGCTTCATGGGAACTCTGCACATCCAGATTCTTCCATTTATTGCAAATAGTGTAAAAGATTATTTGTCTGACCACATAATCTTCTTCCATTGGTTGATTCTCTGGTCATGATGCTCAAGGTGAATTTTCTTGTTCAATGGAATGATGAGGAGTTTTATTACAAATGACCTGCTACCAAAGTCCATATGTAGCTTTCAGTACGTTGTTTGAGTGGAAACATGTATGCCTAACCCATTGTTGACAGTTTCTCTACAAACTAATAATGTCATGCTTTCTTGAATCTGTTTTCTGCAAACATCCAATGACATTGTTCAATACATTTGTTGTACCAAAGAACGAGTCAGATGCACAGGCACCCACTATCATGCATATCTCTTGTAAAGTCATTGAAATCCTTCTGCTTTCCCATGACTGTTGTCAAATAGCTATACAAGTCTATCACAACTAATATAGTTCTGGTGATTCACATGACCACTCTAATTTGCATACACTGTAGATAGAAGCATTTTCTATTGTTACTTACATTATCTAATTGTTTGACCATGCAGTGTCTTCTTTCAGTGTCTAAACAAATAAAGGTATATGATTTAATACCCATTAACACTGAATAAAGTTACTATTAATTTTGAGTTCACAGACTATAGGAAAGGCTGCTAGTTAATAGTACCACTGCCAACACACCCACGACCAAAATCTAAAGTCTGGATTTTGGACTGTTTATTACTTAGTACTTATGAAACTATATATATTTCTCATATTAATGGAGAAATTTATTTAACTCCAAGTTGTTCATAATTTTGTTTCTAGAATTTTTTTATGACTCAAAATTAAAATTAGGGTTATTTAACCCTCTAACTATAGATATGTCAAAGAATGCATATCATGACATTTATATATCATGTTATATTCAAAATTTAATTAAACAACTTTATTATCAATGCATGTCAATAAAATTGACTATAATTAAAATTTTATTACTGGATATGTTTTAATTTTATAATCCTGAAGAAAATATTTAAAACAAATTGCTAAATATCCTTTTTTGTGAGTCACATTGCATGTCCTCTTGTCTTATTGGTCAGTTTATAATGTATTATGCCTTCAATAAAATGTCTATAGTGGTTAACAAATAAGAAACTCAAATTTCAGACATTTGAGAAGCTAGAATATGAAATAAAAACCTTCCATCTTTTTGATTTGATGAGATATCAATATATTTAGCAAACCTATTGAGTAGCCCCTTCCCACTACTCCATTCTTTTGAAACCTCCTGTCTACTCATGCCTACTTCTCTTAAGTACATGTTTATAACCAACAGAAAGATCACATTCCAAGCTACATAAACCTGACAGCCATTTGTAATTGGCTTGAAGGAAAGGGAAGCCAAACTTTTACTAGAAATGTTGAACACTGTTAATAAAGTCATTATTGTGAACATCAATTAAATATTTTTTAACCCACATATAGCTAAATTAGAAAGCCAGATAAATTACAGTGGTTTTGTGTGTTTCAGTGTGGTAATTTTATAATTTTTTGGTTTTCTAAAATGCATCTTTGAAATTTACAAAAATAAATTTGTCTTCCCCCTCCACTCAAAAGAATAAACAAGGTTTATGGCGAGGCTTAACAAGTACGACACATAAGCACATATCAATTTCACAACATTGTAAGCATTGGAAATCAGTTTTTTATATAAATTTTTTAATGATTGATTTATTTTTTTAAGACAACTAAAAATTAAGCATTTTGAGTAAATATTAATAATATATGTACATGTTCATAAGCATTTACACACTGTACACTTATACTGCTAAATTATCACCACCCTAGGTTGATATCTAGCATCCAAATATCTACAAAGTTTATTGGATTGGCCCAGACTAGTACAGAGTTATATCATAAACATTTCCTTGCATTTATATTACTTCGGACAATTCTCCTTGCAACCACTGTATTTTAAACAGTCTATTGGCAAGAGCAGTGATTCATTGCTTTATGTTTGGAAGGTTTCTACCTCAGCCACTAACAGTATAAAATAAATATATGAAATAAATGTGAAAAGGTTAGAAGTAGAAGTTTTCAGGAGAAGTATTTTGGAACTTTGTGGTCAGTACTAAAAAAAGGTTAGAAAAGTACTACTAATTTCACTCTGTACTTCTATATGGTGGTTAAGAGTTCAGTCAAATTAACTGAATATATGTAGAGTTAAGTTAGAGCAGAGGAAATAACAGAAGAAATATAGTTTAGTGAACAAAAATATTTGATTTCTATTTAAGAGGTTTTAAAGATTATTCAAATGAAATTGGATAATTTTCAGATGAAAAAAGTATTTTTAACCTTAAATTAATCTCTGACTCCATATATTCATGAACACATTTTTATTAAAAATACTTAATTAAAAATTCTGGCTTTTTTCCCTACAAAAATACATTTAATATTTACTAAAAGCTTCCATGAAGATACACAAAACAAGTTTAAAGTTATAGTATGAAAAGTCTGATGGTTACTATGGGGTCGCTTGGCTGGAGTAATCCATTGAGGTAGTAGGAAAAGGGTTAAGGCAAAAAAATTTTATACTCAGTCAGTAACAAGTTCCCATTTAACTATTCCAGCATGAGCTCATTCCCTGGGACCGACTTTGTAACCATTTTGTGCTTGTTATAGTTTTCATGTTATAAATTTTAAATTAGTAAGCATATGTTAACAAAATTTGGCATATTATCAGCAAACATTACAATGATTTCATATGCAAAATATCAAATCTTCTGATGCATAAAAGTATAATCAATCTTAAAATGAAAATTACTTTGCTTGTTAGATGGGCAACATGTGAAATGAAAGAAAAAAGGCATGAAAAAAATTTCAAATTTCACATGTCTTTATAATGTCCAGATAATTATCAAATATTTCTGGAGAAAAATTATATATTTTATCTGTTATTCTTACTAATGAATCTCTAAGCGTTTGATAGATTTGAGTGATCTGGTAACCACCATAAAAAATGATGAAATTTAAATTATGCCTCTTCCGTTCTAGAATGACTACAAATTATAACACAAATATAAATGTTTAGACTAAATAGCTTCATTCTCGTAACATTATACGTTAATATATATATATATATTTATTATTTTTATTATACTGACCTTTCAGCCATGCCTGGCTAACAATACAGAAGTTACAATGACATGGTCCATGTGCTCCCATGTTACCGTATCCAATAACATAAAACTGACTTTTAGTTTTTACAAAGTGA